ATTTACGTCAATGTTTACGTCCCAAATATTGGTCTGAGAAAAAAACACGAACAAAGACTGACTCAACAACCAACACAGCAAACTTTGTGTGGCGGATACAATTTCCAGATAGATAATCTGAACTTCAAGAAATGGCCACAAAGAGATGAAAGATTGACGTTCAACGAGAAGCCACCAATCAGAAGACTGTTTTTCTGCTTACAATAATCTATAATAATGTACATGGAAATCGATAAATACGTGTTGATTTCCTAAATAAACGATCTGTTGCCTGACCCCTGTCATCTGTTGGTACGAAATGACCTTAAACCAACCAATCAGATCGCTCAGCATTGGAAATGGATGCTTTTCATAATCTTCGTTGCAAGTGTCACCCTAACCTTAATCTTAACCTTGAATCAGGTTGAAACTTGGAACGAAGACTATGAAAAACATTCATTTGTAGTACTGAGCGATCTGTTTGGTTGACTCAAGGTCATTTGGCTGAGGTGTCTATTCCTAACTGTTGCTATCTTAAGTGTTAACACTGACTGAATTACACCAATGAAGTTTTCAATGCAGTTACCAAGTTAATTGAATCGCCGATTATTATGTACTCGTCGCAAATTATTTTATGTATGGTCGAAATTTATAGTCCTGACGCAAGAAAGACGGAAATCAGAAGACCACTAGGTTTGCGATGATACTTCTATTTTCCAAAACACAAGGGAATCAATATATCACACAAGTGTGTGAGAGCAAAATAAGAATGTCCGAAAGTGTGTGAACACAATGTGAGGCGAATTTCAGAATAACAATCAATAGACAGTTTAACATGATTGGCTAATTATAATGGAATATCGATCCATATTACATAGAAAATATTAGATGTCAAACAACACACAATTTATATGGATGATATATCACCGATACATTGCATTTTTAAGTAATGTTATGTTTTTAAAATATTCTGAGTGAACTATTGGACTTTAAGCTTTCAAGATTCAGCATATGTCAGGTTGTTTTCACGGAATGAAGTTGCTCGCCTTACACCCAAACTTTCCACTTCATCGGGCTTACTACCGTCTAGAAGAGGTTGAGAAGTCCGTCAGTTGGGAAATTAAATCCGAATCTTCTTTGTTGACATGTGTGTTAGTCTTCTCTGTTTTGTTCCGATTTTAGTATATGTGTAACAACAGAAGACAAGCGCCAGGCAAAAGATCGTTTATTATGGAAATCAACACATCTTTATAGATTTTCATGTACATATTATAGATTATTGTTAGCAGACAAACACACTCTTCTAATTGGTTGTTTCTCACAGAAAGTTGACCTTGCATCTCTTTGTGACTGTTTCTTGATTGTCAGATCATCTATATGTTAACTGTATCCACCTATGCAAAGTTTGCTGTGGTCGGTTGTTGAATCAGTCTTTGTTGTTATTTTTCTCACGACCAATATTTGGGAAGTAAACATTGACGTAAATTACTGTCTACCAATTTCGGCTGGCGGTCAGCTCTAACCACAATAGTATTATTATAATAATTAAACTTTATTTCAGACAATATGTGAAGACATCATACAGATATTTTCGACGTATTTAGTTTCGAAATATTTCCTCTTCATATAGGGTTCACATGTGAAGTAATAATCTGAAGTGTACCATGTGACAAAGTGTTGTCGTATATGAAGAGAGATCTAAATCAGTAGATCTTATCGTCATTTCGTTCAAGAATTAATTGCACAGTGTTTTATTGAATGATATTTAAATATATGCGAGGGTCTATGTAGTGCTCATCTGATATAATTGCCTGATTGATGCAATGAGAAATGCAGAAATATTTGAGTATTTAGATGAATGGGAATTCTAGTGGCCCAGTAATGTAGCAGGTTGCCGTTACCTATACATATATCACGAATTATCAGAGGTTGAAATTCATGGGCTGGCTACTGGATCAATTTCCACTGGCTGAATGGTTTACTAAACTTTCCTTGTAACCTGAAGGTCATGGGATGAAATTCCAGTCGGGTGGGTGCGTACTGGCGATAAGTTCCAAACTAGGCTGACGAAACAGCTGTTGAAAAGATTAAGCCACCAGTTTGACAATACAATGTCACCTCAAAGCGTTTATTAGTTTTACTAATACAACTCATGAACATAATTTTCAGTTTTGTTATAAACGGTTTGGAAACAAAAAGCGTGTCTATGCGCATCAAATGTACTCTGTTTCAGATAGGCAACTAAAAAGTAGATCAGAAGTAAACCTGTTCTATCATTTAACGTTTTTACTTTGTAAATGTAATAACACAGACAGCTACAGAGGCGATGTGTGGCATATCTCTTCGTGCCTATAATCTACCAATGTGTTTTTTTTAAGAATATTTATACATATGTATTCAGATGTATTATACGTAAATGTCAAAACAAATAATAATACAATTTCTCAATCGTGTTCAGTCTTGTACGATCTGACTATCAGAAAGTCGATAGATGAGGTTGGGTTTATACATTTGATATATTTTTCCGAGTTCATCTATTCTAGCTAATGACTTACTATGGGAATCGGAACATATGTGGTGGCAGCTGTCTGCAAGACAAAATTGTAGACAACAATTGACGCCAATGTTTACGTCTCAAATCGGGCTCATGAGGAAAAACAAGAACAAAGCCTAACCTTGAGGAACTCAACAACCGATCACAGCAGACTTAACGTATGCAAACACGATTCGCAGATATATAGATAACTTTGTAAGCAACGGTCACAAGCAGTACAAGATAACCTTCAGCAGGAAAACAACCAATCAGAAGACGTTTCTTCTCTGCTAAATGAACGAATAATAATGTACATAAAAATCTATAGATATCTGTTGGCTGGCCCTTGTCTCCTATCATTACACATACAGTCGAAACCTACATACACTTGGTATTGAAAGGTGACTTAGCTGCTGACATCATTAAAAGAAGGATCTCACAGTCCCTGAAAATAAGCACGTTCGCTGCTGCATCACTGAGAATAGCGTCTTCTAGTAAAACATTACCTGAAGGACAAGAACCCGCACTTGACAAAGTCTATATGCGTTTATCAATTCATCTGCTCGTGTGAAGCTGGATATATCGGTCATTCGACTCGGGTTTCTATCCAACAGGATGCCAGAACATTACCCAACATGGTTACGAAGAAGTGGAACTGAAGCTATGAGAAGCGCAACTGTTCAACAACTGGTCGATATTGACCACCCTATCTGGACACATTCTCCTCCTTTCAAGTCATCTACAAGGAGGAAAATAATTTGCCCAAATCAATTACGTATCCGACTCATCTGTATTGCTGAAGCTGTCGAAATGGAAATGCTAGATCTCTGTATACAGAAAAGGTTTGTCCAACTCCTCTGACGCTCATGGTATTAGTTCCTCTATGCTAAAATACGATAATCCCCATTCATATTTTGGCTCTACTTATTTTTTGTTTTGTTTATTCAAATTATATATTGTTCCCTTAATTTGATTGTTGATTGTTACTATTGTTATTCTCACTTTGAATAGGAAATGCATCGTAGAAAATAGAAAACAGCATGTGACATCAAAATGATTCAGACTTTATGAACGATGAGGACAACCCCTTTGTTTGGGCTCAATAATATCACCAATATCTGATATATGTTGATATAACCGCCATTAATAATAATACTGCAACCAGGCTCCGATACGGGAAGGGAATAAATAACTCATCTGAGGACCAATTACCATTCCTAATTTCTAAACACAATTGACTCCTACAGCCAATGCAAATAAATATGGAAGACAGATTGGTCCGTGCTGATAAGACAAATTGATCTTTATCACACAATAATGTATTATATATATATAAATATTGCCCATCTCGTAAAGTTAGATGAGTAAATAATTTAATTGGTTGCATAAATTCTGGCTTTAAGACCATCCAATCGCCTTATAATAAATATTCTGCCTAGGCCCGATTGTTGAAATTTGTCTAGACTAGCTTTAGCATGTTCTATCTGGTTTTGGTCACTTCTTATCACCTGGTAATCTCCCTATCGATGCCCAGGTTTGTGTATCGTAGCTCAACTGGTGGGATGCCCGACTATCTATCGGGGCGAGGGGGGAGGTACGTTTTGAATTCTATTGCGATCCGTATTCTCATTTTACTTGCAATCATCACCCAGCAGATACATTTTGAATAGTTGTGAATATTCCAGGGGAATAGAATGCGCCGAAGTATCAATAAAAATTTCGGTGGAAAAGAGTCTTCAGTGATAGAAATAGAAAATGACTGGGGTAACATGAAGTCGACCACCTCACGATGAATAGTGAATATAGTTCATTAGGAAATTAAAGTTCAGGCGTGCAGTTACAACAGAGTTACTACATGAAAGTGATGGTTATCGATGAAATACATCAAATTTTGCTGATAAACTCCGTCTTTTAATATTTCATATAAGTAGTATAGACATTAGATCTTACATTCAGTAGTAAATTACAGCGGAACTGTCCAGATCGCGAAAGCTTCTGGACCCCTTGCGGTTATTCCAGAAAACCAATCATTGCTTCAGAATACTGTGTACTGTAACCAATGCGAGGATATCAGAAAACGAATTAGCATTACGGGGATCGTTTATTTCTTCACCGACAATGAAGCAGAACAACAGGGTTACAAGGCACAAAATCTATGGATAAACGTTATTGTGAAGCGCAGTAATACTGTAACGACGGGAGACAAGGGCCGCCAGGCAACAGATCGTTTATTGAGAAAATCAACAGATATTTATGGATTTTTATGTACATTATTATTCGTTATTGTTAGCAGAGAAGCAACGTCTTCTGACTGGTCATTTTCTCACTGGAAGTTAATCTGTCATCTATTTGTGGTTGTTTCTTTGAAGGTCAGACCATATATCTGCGAATTGTATCCGCCCACGCAATGTCTTTGTTCTTGTTTCCCTTATTTTCACCAAGATTTGGGAAGTAAACATTGACGTAAATTGCTGTCTATCAATTTTAGCTAGCAGACAGCTCTCATCACAATACTTCTGATCGTTTCTCTCCATTTTCCTACCAACTGGCGTACAATCAGCCGATGACCGCCATTTAATGTTTCCCACTAAATGGAGAACAGTTCGAGCAAATAAGCCGTATGTTACCCACTCAATGTTCACCAACACTGACAAGAACATATACAGAATTTCGTTCGCAGCGACAGCTCTTCAAGTGGAAATAATTCAACTGAAACACAATAATTTTGTGTGTGCTACAAATAACGATGCATGTAAGTATTATGCGTTGTAATATAACCTGCAATAATATTGATAGTTTATGTATTGACGATGTAACAACTATGGCCGCGGAAAGTGATATGTGGTTAAAATTCTGAACAGAATCAATGAAGTGGCAATGTACAAAGGACAATTACAGTATGCACATTATGAACTGAACACAAATATTACCGTTTTGTTCACAAATAAGAAGTATAGCAAGCTCTGGTACATACATACTACTGATCGACATGAGTAGTCTGAAACCATCACGTTAAATAGTCGTGATTGCTACCTCGATGGAGGTGAAATCAGTACTTCCTAACAGTGTTGGTCGTATCAGACTGAGGACCAATATTTGTGACATAAACATTGACGTAAATAATTGTCTACCAACTTGGCTAGCAGCGTGCTCCCACCACAATATAATTAATCGTACAACTAGAAAATAATATCGCCGTAAAGTGTAACTCTTCGCTGAACGCCTATTTCTTTTTCATGGTCATTTAACTAGACTTTGAATAAGTTGTTAATTCCGGGAATATATATATAGGCATCTGTTCATGGAGATTGATCACACGAAATCATAGACAATAATAATTCCAATATTATAACGCTTCATTACTTCCACTGACTGTCAAATTTTAACATGCGCACTCAATAAATATACCTAATACTGTCTATTCGAATCCAGTATATAAATAAGGTCATAATCATACTTCGTTTATAAAACTCCATCATTTTTCATCTCCTCATTTGATTGGTAGTAGTATTTTCCACATCTATTCTTTTTGATGATGAATTATTCCTGTTGCATATGTCGAGTTTAGATTTGTGCGATTACTCTATGAGATGAAGAAGAAACTGAATGGCATTCAACTAGAGAATGATGAAACAATGGTTAGTTTTGATATAACTAGTCTTTATACTAATATATCAATCAATATGGCTGCCTTAGAAGCAGTTGAAAAAGAACCAACTGCAGATCCTGAACTCAATCATAGGACAAAGCTGGCCATTGAACAAATTATTTTAGGGATTCAGTTATGCTGCCTCACATCTACTGTCTTTAAATTCCAAGGCAAAATATATAGACAAACAGAAGGTATAGCAGTGGGATGGATCATCGATATCCCCTATTATAGCAGATATCTTTATGGACAGCTGGGAAAATATTGCTTCTAATACATTTAATCCTACTCCAAAAACATGTTGGAGATATGTGGATGGCACTTTCACACACTGTGTTAAAAACAGAACATCTCTCTCTCTCTCTCTAGCTTCTTGACACATATAAACTCACTAGTGGAGGGAATAAAATTCACATTTGAAGCGGAAAATGAACAAGGAGAATTAGCTAGCTGTGTTAGATTGTAAGAAAAAACGAATAGAAGAAGTTTATAAGAAGTTGCATGCTGGAGTTTATAAAAAACCAACTCATTCTACCCATAGATATTTAAACTTTAATTCGTCTCATCCGTTATCTATAAAGGCAGGTTTGGTTAAGTGTCTAACAAACCGAGCAGTAGCACCAAGTTGTACAACAAAAAGCTTAAACGATGAAATGAAACAAATAGAAGAAGAATCATTGGTGTTAAATATCTAACTATCCTTTGCTTTGATTACAGCTTGATTCCACGCCCTATTTTTGGCACAAGTGTGGAATTTTCAGCGTGGATATCGGTAGCCCAAAATTCGCAGGCCGACCATAGATATCAGGTGTGCGTCGGCGTGGGCTCGAACCCCGGAGCATGTGCATGGTCGCCGAGGGTCCTAACCACTATGCCACCCATAAAATTCATTAGAAAGATCAAAAAAGGTCAAAAGGCAAAATAAAAATAATGATGAAACTAATAATGATAACATAAACAAGAAAGAATATTGGGCATCTAACTGCAGTTTTACCATATAAGGAAAGGACATCCGAGACCCTCCTACGTAGGATTCTCAACAAAGCAGGAATTAGGGTGGCATTTAAACCTACAAACTCAGTCAGATAGGACAAGCTGTGTAGGTTAAAAGACCCAGTTGAACCAATTAGACAAAATAATATAATTTACAAAATACCCTGCAATGACTGTGAGTTAGGTCAACTACATAGGTCAAACTAGTAGGTCAGGGGTAGTCAGATTGTCGGAACATAAGAATTTAGTGGCTAAGGTAAGAATGGTTGACCCCGAAAAGATAAGTAATTTAGAAAAAAGCTCAGCAACTGCACTGCATGCAATAACACACAACCACACAGTGGGGTGGGAGAGAGTCGTGATTCTGAGAAGTAATATAAGTAGTTGGAGAGCGTGAGAGGTTGATTACTAAATCCTTATTCATCGAGTCTACTTGTAACACATGCAATAGGAATGACTCATCACACTGATACCAGAGATATGGAAAATATCACCACCAATCAAATGAAGAGATGAAAAATGATGGAATTATATAAAGGAAGTCAGAAATTTGTGTGAGTCGTGCCTTGATATGATTATGAGCAGTAATAAATTGTTCTGGAAACGTGGTTTTCAGTATATATTACTGCATAACACGCTGTGAGACTTTATAAAAATAAATTTTCTCCACAATGTAATTATACTCTACCACAATGCACAAGATCAAGATGGCTGGAGTTGATCAGCAATATGTATCTCTGGGAACGAGCCAACCAGAGCCAACCAATTGTACAACAAATATGTAGGAAGAAATGTAGGTGGATTGGCCACATACTGAGAAAACAAACCATCAAGTGATATCACACGACAGGCTCTCGAGTAGAATCCAAACGGGAAGCACGAGTTGGTTGTCCGAGAGTGACGTGAAGGAAATCATGTGAAGAGGAGATGCAAGAATATGGTCAGATGTGGAGCCAAGTGAAAACGTTGGTGGAGAACCGGACGCAATGGAGACTTGCGGCTGAATCCCTATGTTCCTCCAGAAATTAAAGGAAAAAATAATAATACAGTGCACAATTTCTATTCTTATATCAACAATTAAAAAACCTATGCATAATTCAACTATCTAGGGTGACGGTGTGCTGGTCTTGATATATGTATGCGTTCTTGTTTCAATTCTTACTGTAGTTAACAAAAACCGCTGTATTTGAAGTACATCTAAATGACAGAATTCATCTTTCAGACATACATCATGAACCAACATCATTTACAGAGATCACTAGAAATCAACGAGGCACTGGATAGCTGTTTGAATCTGAAATTAATCCAAAATCATATAAACTGAATATCAGTCTCCGACTCACTGATGATCCCTACTGGGTGGGTTTCTTGACGCTGAAGTGGAAATCCGTGACCATTGGAGTCCACCATGTAAAGATGAAGTAGGTTCTCGTCGAAGTCAAGTCGAAGCGCTGCATCATGAGTTGACAAATTTCGAATTCGGGGTGGGGGGCACTGGATTTCAGCTCAAGTGGATGACTGGTTAACAAGTTTGTTCTCATAACCCCAAGGTCCTCGGTTGTAGGTGAGTACTGTGAAGAATTCTGGAATGGGGAAACACTGCTCTATGGTCTTCAGTGACTCTCTGATCGATATCATTTAATGCTGAAATGTATGCTGAAACTAACTAAAAAGACCTACAAAGCTAAAATTTACATGAACATTTTGTTCGCTGATTTTAGTTTCAAGAATTATTTAATTTAGTTATAAAACTGATTAAAATATTTTTCGGGTTCTATCTATCCTATGAAACATGTCAGTGAATAAAAATGACGTATTTTGAAGCAAATAAATAATATATCGTAATTTTACATATAATCAGTAGTATGTAACATTAAGGCTGTAGCATACAAATAGCTTTTCTGTAATAGGTCATAGTATTAAATATAATAAATATAACTACTAATAGTAAACATTGTGATATCATTTTGGAGTACTGAAGTATGATTGACATCTTTGGAACAAACATGTTCACGTGTACCAGTAAGTGATTCTGACATTTCACATATCAAATGTGCGTGTGTGTGAGAGAGAGAGAGAGGGGACTGATTTTAACATCACTATTTCTGGTGAATTTTCTGAAAATTGGTGAAATCATTTGTAGCTTAGAAAATAACGAATTAAGCCCTCCTCAACAAGTGAAAAATAGGTCAGATGGCTTCATTTTGAGTTGGATATCTTTGGGAATACATCTAAGAGGATGGTATATTTTATGTACTACAGGCAGATGTTATTGGTTGTCGCTTGACCTGAAAACGACATTGGATTCTGTCGACCGAGAGGTGCGTAATATGGCAGTGTTTGACAGTCATGGGAAGGCTGACAAAATACATCTCACTGATCAAGACACTCTAGTGGAACTCATGGAGTCAGCCAGGTGAGAGCCTATGGATGGTTGTTATCTGAGGCTGTGATGACGACCAGTGGTGTTCGTCAGGGATAATCACTGTTTCCATTTCTGTCTGATTTCAGTATAGATGTACTCATGGACTTAACCCTAACTGACTTCAGAGACTCAGGAATCGACTTATTATCAGGGAATAATAGTCTCGTTGACTTAGAATAAGCGGATGATATAGTCCTCCCTCCTGGGTGAAGGCGCTAACGAAATAAAGCAGAGTCTTTTGAACACCTTGAGTAGTGAGCAATCTTTGAATGTTTGACATACGATTTGCTCCGGCTTTCAAGTGTTAGATGATGCAACACAACTGGACTGCACTACATCGACTCATTCCTAGCTTGAAGATAGGCAGGAATGAAGTGGTTGGTGGAGCATGTCAACTTATATGGGAAGTTGCGTCAGCCAGTCCTATCAACGGGTTGATCGCTTACAAAATCTCAGTGCGGATACAGACGTTCAGTTTTGTCTGCCTACTTCCTCCATCTCTGACATGTAGACGCAATATCGGCTGCCTGGATGGCTGGTTGTAGACCAGAGGACGTGTATACTGCTCAGAAGTTCGTTGCGTGCTCTTTGATGGCTGGCCGTGAGTAAGACATGACAAGTGAAAGTGGAAGACATGAAGAGCCTAGCTAGCTAGCTATCTTTCATCATGGGTGTCTGAGTCCTATCTCCCATGTGTTAGTTGGTGGTGTAATAGGATGAGTAGTAGTGAAGTGAAGCTTCGGCCAATTGTTAGGTGAGTTTAAAGGAAAATCAATTAACGAGGTTGTGGAGTTACATGGATCGAGAGAGATGGTTAGAACATGTGTTATGCATGTCTAGCCCAGCTATAGCCATCCTCTAGGGCCAATTTCGGCTAACTGACACAGGATGGATCAGGTTGTACAACAACTAGTGGGGTGATCAGACCAAAATATAGCATCATTCAGTAAGGCCCATAGGAGTTAATTTAAGCTAGCCACATAGTGGCAACTAGAACTGCACACATCAAAATTCTTCTTGTAACCTTTTCTATGTTCTCATTTTACTATTCAGAAAATTCAGGGCACTGTGTATCAACGGGAGATACACATAAAAGGAAGCTATGTCTCTGATGTACCTGACTGTGCAGCGTCGTTGTTTCACTCCAGGAGTTCATTACTACTCTCAAGTGACACTACACACCATGTCCTCGAGTGTAACCTAAACTGATAGCGGCCAGCTAAGCTGAGATGACCCTGTGAAGAGGAGATGAAAGCCTGCCAATAATCGTGTCGCCAAGGGAACCTAATCCAATACAGATATTCAAATCAGAACATAAGAAATTAATAATAAATAAAAAGATAATTAGTTAACTAAAGCAAACGTCTTTAATCTGGATTAATGGATGAAATTCTAACAATAGAAATATACGATGTTTATTTTGCTCTCACGCTAAACAAATTCTATGCATACGTGTATCAATCATTCATGCATTCATTCATTGTGTCATACTGTTCAACAGCAAATAAGGAAATACAAACAACATTGAACATGTTGAATTTGGTTATTTTTTTAAATCTTATCTGATTTCTTGTGGTACTTATGCTTACCACAGAATATTTGAATTACAAGACGAATGAATGCAAGTAAAATTCGTCTTTAAAACTAGACTTTATAATTACGACTATTGTTCCTTTGGATTTGGAATGGCAAATGTTTAACAAATTAACTACTAACATTATTACGGAAATACGTTCTAGATCTTATCGAAAACTTGTTCTGACTGACACAACAATTTTTATTGAAATCACTTTTTGTTATTAATAAATATTTTCGTATTGATTAGGATGTAAGCAGTTCGCAAGAATTCGCGAAATTCAAAAATGCACTCATAATACTCATCCCCTGACATTTATTATTATTATTATTGACGTGTTTAAATTTTTGAATGACACAACTAAATGAAGTGCATTGTGGTTAATTTTGACTAATCCTTGAGCCTGTGCGTCGGTGGCACAGTGGTTGGGACTCTCGCCGACCATGCATATGGTCCGGGGTTCGAGCCCGCACCGACGCACACCTAATGTCTACGGTCGGCCTGCAAAATTTGGGCTACCGATATCCATGCTGAAAATTCCATACTTGTACCGAAAATACAGTGTGGAATCAAGCTGTAAATAAAAAATAAAAAAATAAAAATTCCGCCTCACTACTACAACTATTAATAATAATAATAAGCTCACCTTATATTGCGATCAATATTTCAGATGGTGTAAAAAAAATTTCTGACGAATACTGATGTTGTACCATGAAATTACGAGTGTGACACATCTCCATATCGACCTATTTTCTGCGGCCACCCTAAGCTCCCCCGACGATCAACCATTGTCTCTCATCTCCCTCTCCTACTCCTGAAGGTATTTCCTCCATGTCACCTATGCACTCACACACAACTCATCATTATCCGTTCGCGACCCACTCGACGGTTATCCTCGCGTTCAACGACACCCAACGGTCTCCTCAACAGGTGACCAAACCATCTCCACTTCTATATATTTGTTGGGCGGCAGGTTATCTCCTCTTTGTTCGTTTCCACAGTTCCTTGTCGATAATTATTTATGGCTAGCAATTTAATCACCAGTATGTAGTCAGCCAAGCCATCTGTTGATAAAAAACTTCAATGGCCTGTTCAAAATGCTTCTCATGATTTATGCACACTCCGAGCATCCAACCCAATACAGAACGACTGAATGACTGACTTAACAGGGCTGCTGAAAATCTGAATATTGTTCTTTATGCTGGCTCAGTCCACAAGATTTACAGACTGATTTTAGAGTGATGAATGTCAGTCTCACACTTCCGATTCTGGTTTCAACGACGTCATCCAAGCTATCCCCTGTAGCCGAAGTGATGCTACCTAGCTAGATAAGTGAAGAAAGAAACCACTTTCACGCACTCTCCGTTAATAGTGATTGTTGTTGGTTCTTGGTGTCGATGTTGTCAGTCCATCATTTTCATTACCCACGCTTTCTCTGTGTTCAATTGAAGTCACGTTTGTTGGTTTCCACCTGGAGATATTCAAGTCTCTGTGACATTAAACATAAATCATCCACTCGCTAAATCCACATCTTCTAGAGTCTTCTCGTCTGTCCAAAGTATTCCTGTCTTCTCGCTCCTCACACGTGGTCTTCTGTATAATCCAGTTCGCCGCACTTAGGAATGTACTCGTGGGTGATAACAGGCAGTCAGCTTTGTCTTAGTCGTGTCTTCACTTCAAAGTCTTCCTCGTTGAGTTTTCCGTTGTGGAGCACCTCACAAATTTCATTGTCATATGGATGTTGAATGAGACTGATAAAGATAAGAGCACTGCACACCATAGTCTTCAAGCGGTTTCTGAATTACTTCACGATCAACGCTGTCGAAGACATTTTTATAGTCGATGAAATTGAGGCAGGGGTTCGATGATGATGATGATGATGCTTGGAGTTGAAATTCAATCAGTACATGATTTGCCTTTTCCTGAATCTAGTTTGTTTCGGTGGGTGGAGTTCCTCATCCAGTGCATTTTCTATTCTCTGCAGGATGACACGACTTAGTATTTTACTTGGCGTGAACAAGAAATACTCACTATTTGACTACAGTTCTTGTGTGAGTCTCCCCTCTTCGGTAGTTTGATAAAAGGAATACTATAATCATTTTAAATGTTATATTTCACTGTTTTACCTTTGTTTTTGGTCGACTTTATGCATTACTCGTTTATTTGCAACAATATGCGCTAGTACTTTTATCCTTATTTCCAGAAATATAACTGCTTATAAATGTACCAGAGGTTCATTTTCTCCATCAGTTAGCGTACAGGCGAACTGAGTAGGTCATATACGGATCCGTATTAATGCTTACGTTAAATATGTTCAGGCCTGGAAAGTATACAAAGAAAGATGAT